TTCGATTAATAACAAAAGATTTCCAACCCTTTCAAATAGTTGAAGACGAAGGGTTTAAACATTTTGTTGAACTGCTTAACACTTCTTATAAAATTCCAAATCGCCATACATTGTCTAAGGTTCATATACCAGCACTATATCAAAAATGTTTTAACGAAAGTATGGATATAGTTAGTTTGGAGCTATAACTGGTTGTATGACAACAGATTGTTGGACGTCCAGAAATAATATTGGTTACATTGCAATTACTTTCCATTTCATTGATGACAGTTTTACTTTGAAATCCGTTTTGTTGGGCTGCAAAAAATTTTCTGAAAACCATAAGGGTGTAAATTTAAGTAACAAAATAAATATGACTTTAAAAGAATGGGATCTACAAACCAAAACTATTTTTGCAGTATCAGACAGTGCAAGTAATATAAAAAGAGCTTTATCTATACTTCATTTAAAATATTTTAGATGCTTTACTCACACGTTAAATTTGACCGTGCAAGGGGCTTTAACGTTAGAATCCACTGTAAGTGGTAGTCAATATATGACAGCATCTATAGTTATAGTGTTTTTATGTATTGTGGTAAACCTACTAGTTTCACTATTATGCAATTGTTAAGTAATTAGAAATGTATAATTATGAACCTAGTATAATTAAGAAATTTCCATTGTAATTTCTAAATAATTACATTTATATTAATTGTTAACTTTAAAGTTTTAATTTTAAGATTTCCAGAATGTGAAAATGTCTTCTTACATATCTCACATTGACAGGTTTTTGCTTGTATGCGTCCTTTTTTTAAATTGTATTCTAGTTATTTATGTAATTTAAGCTACAAGTGTCATATATTCCGTTTTTCTTGATCTAATATATCTTTTAGGTACACAGTTTTGATATAAATTAATATATCGTCTGAAAGACAAAGCTCATATAGCTCTTACATGTACTCTTAACTACAGAATACATATGTAAGATATGGTAAAACTAATTTATACTTGACAGCCAAATTATATAGAGTATAACTTTCGGTTATGAGTATTATAATATCAGGAAAGGCACAATATTTAATAAGTTTAACCAAAAGCATTAGAAGTAAGGAAATCAAAGAGCCGTTTCTGTATTAGCGTATTAGTAATACTAGATTACGGATAGCAAATATAGCTAAAATAACGATGACCATAATATAGCTTTTCATAGGCTAAGTAATTGAACTACATGATACAGCTCGAATACTGTCTGACTGCAGAATCATCTAAACCTTATAGCTTTTGTAGTAAAAAGTTTTTCTTGACATTTATCTTTTTAGTAGCGTAGAAAGTATATTAGTTAATTAATCTTAACTAGATCTAGTTCTATACCTAAACTATACATTTTATTTAGGTAAAATATGTAATATTTGTAATATGTTAACAGTATATACGTGTAATTTGGTTTTGACACCTATGTTTATTAGTGATCGATGAAGAGGAGCAAAAAACTATTCCGTGGCGTTTTAGGGGATAACAGTAAGCAGAGTCAGCCGTAGGCATTCCAACTTTTTGAGACACTTCATAGAAGTTTTCGAGTAAATCACTGGTCGAATGGACACAATGATGGAAAAACTATTATTGTTATTTTACGTAACCCACAATTTGTTCAACAATAATTTTCAGTCGCAAAATATTACGTAAGCTTTTTTACGGGTCAACTGTATGGACTGCCGAATTGGCGTTATTGTTACAGTTCATAATATTATACAATTTTAAAATATATTTTGTTTAACTTAATCTATTTACTTAAATTCTACTCTATACAACAGTATAAAATATATAGAATGATAGCATCACTGTTAATTGCGACGTTGTTCTCTTGTGTGCACTTTACGATACATATTTAATATATTTTTGTACCTTATGGGTTTTACTTTTGTATAATTATTTAATACTTATAGTAATAAACGTCATTACTCATTAAACATAGGAATTGGTTAATTATTAATTTAATTGCCACAGTATTATACAATTTTAATTTTTAAGAGTCAATTTAAATAGGTGATAGTGATACACTGTTTAGCATTTTTTAATGTTCAAAATACGTTGGTGGATGAACAAGTAATTATTTTCGCCCAATGTTAATTAAAGCCATTATAATAATATATATTTTTTATACAAATTTTGCAATAAAAATTTAAAAGTACATCTGTTCACCAGTTCATCTGAATTGTAATCACTAATATAAAGTTGATTATATTCAAATTTTGACGGGCGTATTGCGGTTGGCTGGCACATACACATTAACCAATAGCTAATGATTATTGTATATTGAATAAGTTTTATTTATTTGTTCAAAAATATTAGGGCCACATACATAGTAATGTCATATGTGTATTTGCTGTCAACAATTATTTTTTATCGTTTAAACCGTTTTATCTAGTTGAAAAAAAATTCCAACATGTTCATCAAGTAATACATAATATGTATTGTAATAGACTCGTCAATCATACACACCAAGAACTTCAAGGTGAATTACCAAATATCGAATATTTTATCGAGTTTATCATGTAGGTAAATAGGTTCATCATAAGCATTATACAAGTAAATTACACCATAACGGTCCGTTAATCGGCGATATATAATAAACCATTAGCCGCACAACAATAATTGTGTACAACGGCGATTTTAATTATAAACCAAAGGCTCGAATAGGTAAACAAGACATATTAACGAAAAACGCTACCGCCGTCGACATAAAATATTTATCCTTCATAACAGCAGCAATGCAATGTTGCTGCGATTAACAAAAATCTCCACTACACGTATTCCATTTAATCCGAACAAATGGTAAACGGACAAACTGAAAAAAACCGATTCGGTAAGACAATACAAATAAAGTAAATATGCAATAAAAATCAAACGTGACTTGGCCGACGGTCGACGGCTAGAGAAATGACTCGAGTCGTCTTAACAGCAGCTCCAATAAGATAAAGAAAAGAGACGGTACGTATTAGGTTAAAATCTGCCACAGAGTGGTGATAAGGAACGACGCGACGCAACGCACAGTCTGGTTATGTGTAACGGTCGAATTCTGTGACCACACGGTTACCTACATCGGACGAATCGCGCGCGCTTTTTGAACGGTTGTCGAAAAAAAATATTATATTGATTTCAATGTTAAACTTCGTAGATAATAAATAGACAAAAATTGAGTAATATGAATCGGTGGCGGTTTTAGGGGTGAGGCAAGTGAGGCACCGCCTCACTTGTACTTTTCAGAAATTAAAAAATATTTGTTTTACTTTTTATTGGTGCTACTTTGAATTTCGTTCGTATGCTTTATTTTATAATAATTTAAATATATATATATTAGACATTAGATGCTTCAGCTTAAAATAAACAACAATTTGACATTTCATTTTTTTGTACAGAATATGCAAGAAACGCAAGGGTGTATTTATGGGGGGGCTGAGGGGGCTTCAGCCCCCCCCCGAAATTTCAGGAATTTTTTTTTTAATTCTATCTAAGCGGCATGAGCTATACCCTATATCTATAGGATATAAATTGTAGAAGTTCAATATTGTCGTTTTAAAAATAATAAATTGCTATTTACGATTTTTTTTTATAACACAACGACTAAAGTTGTTATTATTATATTTTGGGCGGCCGACTTACGGGCGCTAACTGTTTTCAGTCTTGTGGCAAAGCGTAGGGAGAGGAGTGATCATCGTCATAATATTTTGCTTAAATAAATAAAAACAATTAAACATCAGTAGTATATTTTATAATGGGAAAAAAATGTCAACGATATAAAAAGAAGATTGCTATAGCCTACATATATACCTACTTATATCAATAACAAATCGAACTAATCGCAGATGTTGTAGAAATACTAGAATAATATTTATGTTATATAAAAATAAAGCAAAAACGAAATGTTTTTATTTGTTTTTTGTATGCTATGTTAAGAATTGGGGGTTTGGCTTGCTTAGAAATATTATCGAATTCATAATATATTTTACTAATAACGTGTGTAGACGTGTGTCACTGTGTTTCTCTTGAGTAAAATTAATTTTATTAAAATAATATAATCAAACAAACTCAGTCATTGTTGACTTTTTTTAAAAAATCTAAACAGTCAACCGATGATACTGTTCCATCTTTATCAAATGTTTTCCTAGATGAAGACACTGTGGCATCTGAAACAAAACAAGCCGCTTCATGTGTAGAAGTTATTTCTCCGGTAATTAAACATATTTTAGATTCTAAGCTTGATATAGGAGCTATTTAAGCGACGAAAAAAAGGTTTCTATTTTACAAAACGTATGGACCACTGATTGTAAGTTTTATGTTCCATATGATACTACTGGAAAATATAAACGTAAGTAGTATGTTTTGGCCGTACCGGCTCCTGTTATCATGCTCCTGTTATCACACACAAACACACACACAAAATATAATCATGCGACAGGTATTTAATTACAAATATGTACATACGAAACGGTGAATATATATATATATATATATATATATATATATATATATATATATATATATATATATATTTAAAATTATATTAGGTATAGCAAAAGAATAAATACAAATAAGTAAGACAAAAAAAAAAAAAAAAAGGGTCACCAGTCCAATTCTTCCGCGTCTGCAATCGCCAGAAGTATTTGATTTAGGGTTACGTCACGCCCATCGTCGTTCCAAAGGGAACTGGTGGACCCGTCTAAGGGAGAAAGAGAGTGTTAATGTTTGCGATCATCGTGAATAACGGTATGCTTACTGCTATTCCACAATCTGGGTGTTGGTAGTGGTGGCGACGGCGTCCCAGGGATGACATCGACCGTATCTGACACTTAAACGAGTTGACGTTCAAGTGAACTAGACGTGGCTTCCCAAAGATCATCTAAACCAAGAAAGGGGAGGTAGTGGGTATTATTGTGTGTGTGTGTGGAAGCTCGGTGCGGGGAACAAAACACTTACCGGTAGACGCTCGTTGAGAACTGGGTGACGACGGCGGCGTCCCCGGAATGACATCATCGCTGTCGTTCCCGGGTGATGATGACAACGTCCACGACGTAGTTGGTGGGTGGCGGTGTTGCTGATATTGTTGGTGGTTGTGTCGCTGCCCAAGACGGGACTGAGGACCAAGTCCCGGGGATAAACTCAATGGAATTCATCAGAATCCATTGGAAATTAATCTGGCGATAAAAAAAAAAAAAAAATCACCACTAACGAAAAAAACAGAATTAAGTATAATTTAATGAAGAACTGGTACATACCAAGTTAAAGTTGGACATTGTCGACAGTGATGTATGTTCAATCGGCAAATGAGCACGTTAGACATCGAACCAAAATGCTGATGTACTCGATTTCTTGAAAATGATAATCGATCACGCCATACGTGGGGTGAATATATAGGGTCAAATTAATATAGATATACATACCAGTAGTGCAGTATATGGTAATTAAAAAAAAAAAAAAGCAGACAGAATTATGATATGCACTATAAATACCGGCTCTAACGATATATATTGTCTTTCAATAATCGGCAAGTTCATCCTAACACATACACACAGTGAAAATGGCTCAGTCTTGTCCTGTATGTAAGTTCACGTTTGCTAGACGAAGCAATATGCTACGACATCAAAGACAGTTCAACCATTACTTAGGTATAAACGAATATGGAAATAGGATTAAATAGGTTAATATCACCCTGACACGTTATTTACAGTTGGACCGCATCAACCCGGATCAATTCAGCAAACCCCCGACGAAGGTAAGGAAAAAAAAAGAAATAGATTAGTATTAATTATAGATATATAATTATATGTTGATTATAAGTTGTATATATATATATATATATATTTTTTTTTTTACACAATCAAATATAACATTGGGATCTGGGTAATTACAGTACACGTAGACTTGACCGTGGATGATGATGATGAATCCGTCAATAGTATTAACAGTGAACCGAGTAAGTAAAAAAAAAAAAAATCATAAATAAATAGAACCATAATAAGAAAAGTGAAATATTATTACAGCGACCGCGTCTCAACACACTGAACATCGTCAAATCCATGTTGATGATGAAGGTAATTAAAGAAGAAATATAATATTATAGGATGATTCTATTTGTTATTTAATTACAGTATGGATAGACTTGACTACAGAAGAAAATAGTGAAGCAGACAATTTTAGTAACATCGGGGAAACAGGTAAACAAATAAATAATGATTAAAGTTAACTGTGGGTGGGGGCCAGAATACACCCGCGGTAGTCCATGCCTGTCGTAAGAAGCGACAAAAATGGACCTGAAGGTGGGCGGCAGCGCCTTCAGTAGTGGCTATAGGTGGATGCTTCGTAAGCAGGTACAGCTATAGCCAGATAGTAGTAGTAGGCATGCACGGAGACCATGAACACGGCTACTATACTACGATGTGGAAGGCAACGGGAAACCACCACATTATAGTCCCAAGACCAAATTCCTACAAACTCACTATCTATGAGGAAAATAGAAGACAGGGAAGAATGGAGGACAATTGTAGGTAGGCAATACCAGTCGGAAGACTAATTAAAAAAAAAAAAAGAAATATAATATTATAGGACGATTCTATTTGTTATTTAATTACAGTATGGATAGACTTGACTACAGAATAGTGAAGCAGACAATTTTAGTAACATCGGGGAAACAGGTAAACAAAAAAAAAATAATGATTTAAGTTAATTAATATACATTCATTCAACTCTGCTAACACGGTCACGATATATGTATCAGAAAGAGTACCGGTGACAATGGATTCGATCAATTACAGCAGTGTCTGCGACGACCAAAATATCGTTAAAAATAATAATAATAAAAATATACAAAGCAATAACAGGGTTGATCAATTTAGAATATATCGACGTCTGGCCTCCGTCTCCGACACAGCGATAAGAACTGGTGGTGCCATGGCAATGAACGGTATAATCAATTACACTAATTAAAATAACGCGTGCGGATAAGTACTAATAAATATGATCATATAGGTCAAATGGACGCTACCGATGTGCCGAGTATAATCACATCAACGTCTGCTACAGACGGCCGCAATAACGATAATATGCAATTACAAATTCCGAACCGTAAGAATACAACCAACACAATTAATAATAATAATAATATGATTATACGTATAGTGATATATATATATATATATATATATACACATATATCTATATAAATATTTATGTACATATATTATTCAACAGTTAGTAGTATAATCTAATTTTATTGGAATATGTACTTGTCTTCCCGACACCAGTATATTTTAAATAACAATTTGCACCGAAATTACAATTTTAAATGAATCATGTTTGAAGCACTATTATATTAAATTTTTAAATGATAAATTAATTTAAAATAAGTAGTAAAATGATAATTTAGTTATGAATTAATTTAAAATAAATTTTTTTACATGATATAATTTTTTAATGTTGGAATTTAAAATAAATTAACAAACCGTAATGCACATATTTAATTAATGGATCTAAGTTGGAAGGAAATTTAAATTTACAACAATATTTTTTAAATTGCTGGCATAAATAAATCTTAAATCAATTTTGAATGAATCATTATTATAAATAGTTATGAAATAAATATTAAATGATAAATAAGGTATGAAATAATTTAAAACTAAATTAACAAAAATTGGAAAGGAAAATATAAGTTTTTAACTGTTATTTAAGGTAATAATTAGTTTATGATTTAATCACTATTAAAATCAATTATTAAATGAAGAAAATTCCAATGATTGTTAAAATCAAATATTATTAATTAATTTAAAATGAAATCAACAAATTGAAAAGTAAAATACAATTTTTTACCTGTTATTTAAGTTAATGTAGAATTTAAATTAAATTAACAAGTCGTGGTATACATACAAATTTAATTAAAGGAATAAAGTTGGAAGGAAATTAACAATAGCGGTTATTGAATCACTGTTATAAATAATACTTAAATGAATTTTTTGATTGAATCAGTATTATATAGAGTTATGTAATGATAAGCAATTTAGTAAATAATTTAAAATAATCATTAAATGATAAATAGGGTATGAAAGGGAAATACAAGGTTTTTTTTTAACTGATATTTATGCGATTAATTAATTTAAAGAAATTAATAAGGTGAGTTATATATATATATTTCTATTTTTTAATGTAGTAAGATGAATATTTGGAATTACTAGGTATAACACACACACAGCATTGTACACAACACAACATACAATATAATAATGAAATATATATATATATATATAACTGGTGCGTGTCGCGGGACATGCTTTGGAACGAAGTCTCTATAGGTTTCGCTATGTAAACTATATGTGGTGCGATCGGTTCCCACGAGTGTGTGTGGTACCGGGTTCAAATCCGGTCCCCCTTTCAACACTTTTTGCATTTTTTTACAACATTTTTTTATCATTACATTCGGTTATCAAGTACATTTGAGGGTAATCATGTATTCTGTAGTAATAAAATATAAATATTTTATAAGTTTTTAGTCTTCTTGCGATATAAATTACCATAAAAGTTGTAAAAATACTGCAAAAAGTGTTGAGAGGGGAACCGGATTTGATCCCGGTACCACTCGCACCTGGGAACCGATCACGCTCGACCGCACCACACACATAGTTTTCGGAACGCGTTACATTTTTTTTATCGACTATATTCATGTGGGTTATATTTTTGTTGTTTGATTTTACTGTGTGTAATACAGATGATATGTCAATATATATATATAGACAATATTTATAAGGAAATAACAGTGTACTGTAATTAATATTCATAGCGCGCGACAACAACGATGATGGCGTCGGCGATGACGATGTTAGCGAGGATGATGACACGACGACCACCTGTCGGACAAGTATGATAAAGAATCGAATGGGACAAAAAAAAAATAATATTAATAACGGTATGTATTTGCTTTACGAACAGCTCGATTCGGCGATGCTTTCGACGGCCGAATTTCAAATTTCAAAATCGATTGTCGAAGCACGGCCGCCGACATTAACGAGTTCTTGGTCCGATCGGAATCTAAGGTGCTGAAGGTGTGGGAAAAACAGCTCGTTAGGTACGTCGCGCTTAAAGTGAGTCTGGGTTTGTACGCGGTGTACGAAAAACAGAAGCAGCCGGCTACTGGTGGCCCTGATGTGTACAACACATGTATGCAAGATCACGCGGCCGGTCCGGTCATACTGACACAGGGACAGGATCAGCACATAGTGTACACACAGCTTGCTGATATCATTCGTACGGGCGCCGACGAATTTGAACGTGGCGATTCGGAGTGGGCGTTTCGCGAGAACGTATACCTCGAAACGTCGACGTACAAGTATAATCCGCTCAGGCCATCGTGCACTACTCTCTGCCGCCCTCGCTGTTGCGAAAGAGGGCAGTCCTGAACATCGCGAACACCGATGATGCATGCTTTTTTTGGGCAATTGTGGCGCACATCCACCCTGCACCGGTAGGTGTTGACCCCACGCGTACTACGAGCTATCCCCCCTTCAACCGTATACTCTAAACCCGCGGAATCTCGATGCCGGTGGCGGTAAAGTGCATCCCAAAATTCGAAACCGACAACGAGATCAGCGTTAACGTGTACGCTTAGGAGGATAACAAAATCGTCGGGCCGCTTTACTATACGACCGAAAAGCGGATGCGCCACGTGAACCTGATGTACGTCACATCGGTTAACTGCACCGATGGCCATTATGTGTTGATAACCGACTTGGCGCGCGCCATGGGGAAACAATTGTCTAGGCGTGGGCATAGAGCGTTTCTGTGTGACGGTTGTCTCCTCACGTTTAGGAATCAAGCGGCGATGGATCAACACGAATGCCGGCGGTGTCGCGTCGTTCTCCCATCAGCCGATAAAAATATCGTCGAGTTCCTCAATTGGAAAAACACCGTTACCGTTCCATTCTGTATCTACGCAGACACCGAAGCAATCCTCCGGTGGGACCTACGACATCGCGGAGCATTTAGCGTGTAGTTTCGCTTACTTTGTCAAGTGCGATTTCGATTCGTCACTTGACAAAATTGAACTGTACCGGGGCGCGGATTGTATGGAAGTATTTGAAGAACGGTAGGAACGGGACGCGAAGGCCATAGCTCGACGTTATTTTACCCCGGTGGATATGACCCCCCTTACCCCCGCACAGCAGGCAGTGAACGATGCGGCAACCGCGTGCTACATGTGCCGCGAACCGTTGACGCCGGCCGACAAGGTGCAGGACCATTGTCACCTGAGCGGACGATACAGAGGCCCGGCTCACAGAGTGTGCAACTTAAAACTACGAGTTCCGAACTACGTACTGATCGTACTCCACAATTTTTCGAACTACGACAGTCATTTCCTCACCACCGTCCTCGCCGACGACACAAATCAAATCCAAGTCATCGCCAAGACGAAAGTAAAATATATTTCGTTGTCCAAGTTTCTGCAGTTGGACGATGAAAACGGCGGGAGTCACACAATCGTCATGCGGTTTATCGATTCGTACCGGTAAGAATGATAAAAACAAAGCAATATTTTTGGTCTACAATAACCGTATTTCTGGACAGGTTTCTGCCCTCGTCGCTGGACGAAGCCGCGCGGTCACTGACCGACGTCCAGCTGGTGAACACCAGAACCTGGTTTCCGGACGATGGACAGTTCCGGTTAATGAAAACGAAGGGTATTTCCCGT